CATTGTTCATCAATTTTTACCCATTTTGGGCTGTTATCGTGAAAAAAATCACAGTTCCACAATTAAAGTTTTTTTCATACTTTCAATAAAGATGAAGTGAACCAATCTGAATAAATTTAACTTAAAAAAAATATAGGTAGGTGTTAATATAAGAAAATTTTATCATATTTTGATGCTTTTTCGTGACAAATTTACCATGCTGTCAATTTTGTAAAGGGATTTTTCTCTGTTTTAAGAACAAAATGCATATTATTTCAACTTCTTTGTTATAAATGATTGAAAAAATACATATCCAAGAAATTTGAAAAGAATATGGGATGTACATGTTTCTGGTAAAATCATTTTTTGTACCCCTCAACCATTTTCTCAAAATTTTGGCTAAAAAGACTGACTTGATAGGTAATAAAATTTGAACACTGTATTACTCAAAAACTACTTATTGTATATACACAATTTTTTCACAGAGTTAAGTTTGATTATAGCATTTTTTTAAATTCATTGATATTTTCCACTTGTATCACATGTTTTGGAAATAATTCCAGAACGAGATTTCAACGAGATTGAAACGTCAAAAGAATACTTCCTTAAAGAACAAATCAGCTTGAGACAACAGATATAAGGTAGTGGTTTTTTCTTGAAGACTTGGATAATTTACTGAAATTCACACAAGAACAGCTTGGTTTTCTGGTGAAATTCTCCATGTGAACGCAAACCGATTTGTAACAGTTTCATATCGTTGTAAGTAGATAGTGGGTCTAAAATATCTTTATCAAAAATTTATAATTGTGGAAATCTCCAAGGAAATCAATGAAGGGAGTCAACTCCTCATTTTTAAGCACGACTGGCGATGTCATATACTATTTATCTAACGCCTTAATTTAGCAAACACAGAAAGAAGGGGATTATAGTAGTCGAAGAAAAAATAGTCAATGCCATGATCAACAGAAAAACAATACACACAAAAATACAGATTGAACAAAATACAATCCCCATCGAAAAGGAATTGATCTCCGGTACTCCTGAGATTGAAGCTGTTCCGGCTACATAATGACTTATGATGTGTTGCTCACTTGAAGTAAACCTTCGATTATTAAGGTTGTAACACGGTACATAGTGTATAGTGGCAAGTAGATAGTGTACCTTGGAGATCAGCTGCATAGATATATAAATATCAAATTTATTATTCAAATATTCAAATAGTGAAAGTACTTTCATGCTATATCTTGACGCAAGTAATTTTGTTGTACTTTTTTAAATGCAAGAAAACTAAGAAAAGGATATTGATTACTATAGCAACGCCTTGTCCAATATTAGAAGTCATACTGTGGAATAAGGCGTAAAAAAAATCGTTGTTATATATTAGTCATCAAGTTGTTTAATTTTCAGGACAAACCATTGAACTAGTGTATGGCTGCCAAAAAAATAAAATCTTTCAATTTAACTCGCTCAGTGCCTTGAAATGTTATTTAACCTGTAAATAGAAAATGGCATGACAGTGACCACATGATTGCCTTCTACAAATATGATTGAAATTGTAAATTGGTTACAATTTAGCGTTCATCTCGCCCATTATCAGTTTGTATTTATATCCAGCCTAAACTTGATCAGCTTAATTCGCCATTGTCTTAAGTCATCATCGATATTGATTCGATATCGACATCTGGTTTTGTCACGGATGTCGTCATCGAAATCAATATCTGGTTATGTCTTGAGTGTACAAGTTCTTGGTCGATATTGATTAGATATCGTGTCGACATTGTCGATATAAACAATATCGATATCTGGATTAGTCTTGGGCATGTATGATTCTAATGCTGATGCATTATCTAGACAACTCAGCAAATAGTCTTGGAAATTTTCAAAACTTGTCTAAAAATTCAATATAAAACAACCATTCAATGCATATGGCATATGTTATGTTTGGTCAATTTACAACTCACATCTTAAAACATAGTTTTAGCTGTGATGATGCCGAGCTGGTGACAGTTATTATAAAAAAGGGACGCTCAAAACAGCTACCCTTCAATCGGCATAATGCTTAAGCATAACGGAGCAAAAGCAGATAAGCTTGACGGGTCGTTATTTCGCATATGCCCCCTTCATTTAGATAGTATTGGGCATGATGGGAAACTATGTATAAAATGTCAGGGATAAGCTTTGAAAAATAGAATACGTTTACGATAGAGTTAGTTTACCCGAAATGTACAGATATTTTCATTTATGGCCCCATACCATTTTTCCTTCTTCGGGTCGCTTATATGTTGCGTTGCAAAAACATTATCAAGATTACAAAGAAGGTTCTTTCACTCGGACTACGAAACAACAAACATATGACCACGTGAAACAGGTCACATTATATGTACTATGGTATGACAGGTGGCTACGTTTCGTGATAGGTTGATGCCTTTGTAAAGCCTTAACAAAAGGCGACAGCGTTAGCTCAATCTTAATTCAAAAGTGTGTCGCCCTGTTCGCAATCGTTTCCTCGATTGTGACATCACCGAATGATACTCATCACCGGATTTATACTTGCATAAGCAACACGACGGGTGATATATGTGAAGCAGGAACTGCTTACAATCCCTATTTTGTTGTGGTTCGTGTTGCTCAATCTCTAGTTTTCTATGTAGTTTTTTTGTTGTGGTTCGTGCTGCTCAATCTCTAGTTTTCTATGTAGTGTTTTTGTTGTGGTTCGTGTTGCTCAATCTCTAGTTTTCTATGTAGTGTTTTTGTTGTGGTTCGTGTTGCTCGATCTCTAGTTTTCTATGTAGTGTTTTTGTTGTGGTTCGTGTTGCTCAATCTCTATTTTTCTATGTAGTGTTTTTGTTGTGGTTCGTGTTGCTCAATCTCTAGTTTTCTATGTAGTGTGTTTGGACTTGTTAGTCCTTTCGTCGTTTTTTGCCAGAGCGTTATCAGTTTTTCCTAGACTTTCTGTATCCATCGCCTCTCTTTTAAGTCGATTCGAATATCACCGATATGTTTAATGTAGACGAAATGTGCATCTGGCGTACTAAATCAAAAGACCGATGTCCTTTGTATGAATTTATCTAGGCTTGTAACAAAGTTTTATATGTATTGTTGCATATAGATGGAATACCTTGCAGATTATCTAGGTTTTTTTCTATCGTAAATGATGATAATACTTACATGTACCATGCAGTCGCATCAGTATAATTTTACCATATATATGTCTTAATGTGTGATAACTTTACGAAGTACAATCTCCATCGGATAACCAATACGATAATGCGTGTATATTGCTATTGCTAAATCCTCTAAAATATTCTGAATCTTTAATCTTAATGTATTTCTGCTTGAAATAAAAATGTCTTGTCCTCTACTTCTACTGACCTCCCTTCCCACACTCGAGTGAATCTAACTTCGTCTTTGCTTTCTACTTATGTTCCTTTTGGCATTATTTAATTAAATTGCTCGGTCAAATTTTCAACTGATTTTGAAGATGTTGAGATTGATTGATCAATTGTTGGTTGCTTGAAGATGTCGAGAGAAAAAAGTATTAAGTCAAAACTAGTATTGAGAAGGAAAATAACACTTTTCCATAATGGAGAATAAACAGTTTTAGTAATTATTACCTTATATGTCAATACTTGATGTTAAAGTGTATATCTGCATACATATTTAACTGCTCAGTATATATTTACATTTACTCAGGCTTAAAAGGTTTCGTAATATTAAAATATTCATATATAATCAACCAAATATACGTGCTTGTGCAAACTTATCTTCTTAATTCAAATCCACTAAATTTTAAACCTCGCCTTTTATAAATTTAATGTAAATAAATCTGTTGGTTCAATATTTCAAAATACATTGTTCTCGTTTAATCTACGGAATTGGCTTTTAACAATTAAAGTTAAATGTCTGACTATGTACCCCTTTGTCTTGTGACATACAACCGGAAAATGTATGCTACAAAAATATTATACAAAGATTAATGTGTATTTGCACTAACATTATCATTCAAAGATTAGGTCTATATGGTAAAATAACAAAACAATTCAGGGTGACAATTAAAACAAAAACAGTTCAATACTGGGTAATCAAAAGACCTAGATGTACGATTTCCTGGAGTTTCTATTGAAGCTTTTGCAACTCGGAGATGATTAGAAAGTCTAAAGAAAGAGGTTGTATGAGGTCTCACACAACCTCCTTGGTCTTTATAAACATGTCTAAAATTTCCAGTTTTATTCTCTTTATGTTTTTCGATTTTTTTTAATCATTCAAACTTAAAGAGATTAAAAAATGCGAAAAATAGAAAATTGATGGTTATGTGTTCTGGTTCAAATGGACACAACTCGCTCATTCAAGTAACCATGCAGAAATTAGTAACCAACAGTTATCTAACAAGGCAGTTTTCGGTTTTGATAATGACCAATACACATTTATATAACGGCAGCTTTCGATGGTTGTTTAATGAAAGTTATGAGCGCATTTTAAGGGTACACGTGAAACATCTTCAACGAAATGAATTTTACTTCAGGAAACTCAGTCAGTCACAAAAATGTATCTTGGAAAAGTAGTGTAACTTTTTTTTAAATATCAAACAATGAAAAATATGAATTTACCGTATGACCAGTTATGAAAAGTTTCTAAAATTATGTTACATTATTCCATAAGTCCATTCTAATGATTATTAGGATATTTATTATTTTATCTTTTCTTTTTAACTGAAAAAATTTTTCAATCATTCAAAGCATAATATATAATTTACTCTATCTATAGATACCGAACATTGCTTTCACATAAACTCGCAAAGATTTTTTTGTTTTAGAATTATTATAATCTTTTAAATGTGTTTATATGGTGTCATTACCAATACCGCTCCCAGTGCGGCTCATTGTAAGCTTGTTATTCATTAATAAAATTTAAGCAAGTATGATCCGCTTATCCACTCCACTATAGCCTCCTGTATATTTTAAAAGGACACGTGATCGATAAAAATCTTGATCGACCAATGAAATGATAAATTATTGTAGAAGTTTTCTTACCAATATTAATCAGATATTATTTACAATGAATCTGAGATAATTACACAAGGCGTTAGTAATTAACCAATACTTGATCTTGTTGACTTTAATTATTGACATTTCTGGCTAAATTTTGACCATGTCGAACGGAAGCATTTATCTTAAGTTAATATTTATCTTCAGTGGTAAGTTAAAATACTTTTTTTATAGTAAAATTCTTATTTATTTTCTTGCAACGTAATAATTATTTCAGTTGTGTATTGAAATTTAAATCTCTTAGGCTCTAAACTAATCTATTGGGCTTTGTTCATGTTGTTAGATCGATTAAAGTCCATAAAAAGATTTTAAATGTATTTTTTCAAACAGATAAAAGACGAAGTAAGAAATATGAGAGATTTCACAACATTGGTCTTAACTTTGATAGAACTTGCAAATGAACAACGCATATGTGTATATCTTAAATACTGAATTATGAATAGATCCGAATAAAATTATCATATAATTAACTTGTTAAACTGCTTTAAGAAAACGAATAAACAGGGTATTAAAACTAAGCAAACACAGTTACTATACAAATACATTATAGACAATTTAAAATATGTCTCTGCACTTTCTTTGTCACCACACGTTACTTTCTCTCAACAATGTCCGCACCTTAAAATATATACAATGTCTTACGTTAATTTAAAACAATAAAATATATTAGTTCGATCATAAAAATGCTGACAGGATCTGTCGGAGGACTATATTTATATATACTGATGTTCTGATTTCTGATTTATTGCTAAAAATAAATTCATGATGAATTTCTCCTAAATGACTGATTTCATGATACCTAAAGAAAATAATTATTTTATAAAGCCCAAAGAAATTTGTTTTAGGACATCAAATAAAACGTTTTTGGACATAGGCAAGATATTTACCGTAATGTCTGATACATAATCTACATTTTAATGAAGATGCTATCTCTCAGTAAATACCGGGACACCTTTCTACAATTTATGTACTGAAAATTAGCATTTTGTCTTTAGGCTGTCAGACAATAACTGTGATCAACCATGTAGAAATATAAAAACATACAGGTTATGTACAAATTTGGACATAAAGACAATACATGGGTTCTAGTGGAGAGAACCACACAAGTATATGCATTCCTTTCTATTTTGAAAACTAGGTTTTATCTATATATTCAAAGAAGCTGGTCGGTTGCATATGTGATTAACAGCAATATATTTGCGTTCAAAATCTTATTGAGTCTAATATATTCACATTGTTAATAAAAGGCAAGTTTTATTCGTTTTGTCAAAAAATAACTACTAATTAAAAGTTAAAAATAAAGGAAACTCCATCAAAAAGTGATGAAAAGTAAAAATCATCGTCAATGCTTGTTGAAAAGAAATAAGGATACATCATGTATCTGGGTTTTTTTCAAAGTTCAATGTGAAAAGTAAAATAATTAATTAAAAACAAAGAGTTAAAAGTCTGACATGCTCTCCAATCATACAAACAGCATCATTGATTGTTACATTTACTGTTACTTTTCTTTCTGTCCGGCTTATTTGTTCACGGTAAATATATTCGTGTATCCTAATTTCTTGAATCATTAGTATTTTTTGTTAGTATATTCAGTGGACACTTGTTCAGAGGAGCTATCCGTGAAAACTTAGTTTTGTAATAAGGTATTTTAAAGATCATATTTGCCGACACCAGTTGAAAAATCGGACCAGATTCAGTCAGACACGCATGGAAGTAAAAACAATCGAATTTATTTGACCCCTGGCACCCCCAGTTTGAGCAGATTTCTTCGCTACATTTCGATGTCCAAATCGGGTGAGACCATATGTATTGATAGAGTAAGCATCAATTGTTATAAATGTATCAACAGAAAAAAGGAATCCAAAGTCATATCTAGTACCTAGTTAGTACTAAAGGAATTTTAGGGACATGCTGAAACTGGTTATTATTCACAGGGACAGTGGTGGATATTTGAGATCTTTCAGCTTTTTCGTCTTGTCGATCGTTTTTATAAGTTTTATCTTTCTTTCTCATAGGCCTGTTGAATATAATAATGAATGCTGTTAGTGGAATCTCTTTAATGAGAACATGCTCTGGGATATTATTAGCTGGGGCACGCGGTCTGTTACAACTCAACGATGCATATAGGAGTTTTAAAATAAAAAACTTATTAAGTCACTATGTCTGTCATGTCATAGATCTTAATATATATGTTGAGATATTTTTTTTAATTTATAGGTGTAAGGCAAACAGACAATCATATCCATGTAGTATCCTTAATTTTAATTTAACATTCAGGATATATAAGATTCAGAGATCAAATTTAAAAAAATGTGTGAAAGAATACCATTATTATACGGAATAGTGAATTGTAAAGACTTTTTTTAGATGTTTTTCTTCCCTCTAAAATCTTTGGAAAATATTTATTTTGTTTATCCTATTCATAGCTGATACAAATCCTTTGTCGCGACATATTTTCTTAAAACCTCAACTATTGTATAATATACATAATAAATTTAATGCATGTTATTTTAATACGTCTACACCGTAATACTTTTTTCTCTGTAAATTGGTGTATGTTAGCTGTCCGAACAAGTTCGACAGTTATAATTTTTTATATTATATGCAAGTTGAACATCAACTGAAACAAGAGAACCCCCCTTTGTTATATTTTCAATGCTAAAAACTCATTTAAGATGATATGATCGGTTGAAATAAATAATTAAAACAACTTTAAAAATGGATCTGTACGTAAGATTTCTATATATAATTGTAAAAAAATTATGATATACTATTACATAAGTTGAAAATAGGTTTAACTTATATGTAGACCAACTCTCTTATCGTTATTTATATAACTGGGTTGTTTAAACTGGCAGAATAAAATGAAATATGTGTTGTTAAAACATTAAGCTTGACTGGCAAACTATGCTCATGACTATGATAAATGAAACTGGGATGACTGTGTAAAATTACCTAAGAATAAGAAAAACAACAAAATGGAACACAAATATGAAATTGAGTTAAAATGATTTTTAAAATTACTGATTGAAGTCAGTAATGGCTTACTTTTGATGTAAAAACGTTTTGTATAAACATTCAAAGTAATGTACCTATAAATGTCTACATGGATATCTACATTCTTTAATGTATACAGAACAAAATCTATTTCTTATCAATTTCAAATTCAGTTATCTCATTAAAATTCAAAAGAATCTTGACGCATATTTACTGTTTAATTAAATGTCTGCCCACCCGGGGTAAATGAACAAAATGCATTGAAAGATTGCTTTATACATAGATAAAATTCGTCATGGGTACGCATTAAACTGAATGGCTAACTGCTTTTTATGAAATTTGTCATGAGTTCAATTCAATGCAGTTATTGTAGAAACCGTATCAGAAACGTTATGCTTTAGTGCACGTAATATATCGGCTTTGGTTTTATGTAAATCCAGGTCTTTTTGAAATTGAAAATTTGAATGTAGATAAAAATTGTATTTTTAGATAACTAAATTAAAAATCTAATGAAAGTAAATTACTTTTGCTTCTGTAATGAAATTTTGGCATCCGTGTCATTAAAATTGAATTATACTTACCCTCCATAAAAGAAGTAGATACAAAGGCGGAATTTTCGAAGTAGGGAAATCTTGATTTCTTTAAAATATACTAAGCAATAAAAACTTTTAACACATAAAAATGTGAAATCAAGAAAGGATAGAGGGGCAAAGGTTGCGGAAAATGACATTGGTCGTCTGATAACTCATATATCAAAAACTTGTCCAACTTAAAGTAAAAAAACTCAAAATAACTTTGTTGGACACAGGGTTTAAGAAATATAGATTCTACCACTAAATCAAGTGTGTTACGATATTTCTCCACCCAAGACAGTTAAATTTAAATTATTTAAAGCGCGAGGCTGCTGAGCTTTTTAAATAATTAAAATGTAACTGTTGAGAGTGGAGAAATATCGTTACACACGAGTTATAGTAGTGGAATCTGTTTCTCTAATGATTTTAGACGATATCTTAACAAAGTTTATCCTTCCTTTTCAAATTTTTGCAGAAAGTTGTGTTCTTTATATGTGACGAAATTCAATAGAAACCAAGAAAATTTGACGTCATAATTCAATCTTGACCAATCATTTGCCGAGAACGAAGTTTTCTCTAGAGATGACGGAAATATCTTTCTCACACCGATCTAGAAATGTGAAAACGCACGGTTCTCTTATTCCACCAGAACTTCTCCTTACAGTTGAACATATGCCCTGACCTCAGTGATCGTATGACAACCATGATGATCCTTTCTTTTTAAAAATGTTTGTACACAATAAAACCGGCATAATATCAAATGCTTGTCTAAGTTGAAAATTCAGTTAAAAATATTGAATTTTCCAAATAAGCCAATGCAATATAAATATACATCCAGAAAACTATGAAAAAAACCATGATCTTTTCCCTCTATAATTGTGTCATTAAAAGCAAAGTAAGTGTGTCCCTACTGGGTGTTGTCATTGTTGGCCTACTTTTTGTGACCTCCAGGTATTCGATATGATTTATTTTTTTTACGGGATAAAATATAGGATAATTACTTATTCTATTAAGGTAATATAAAAAGCTTCAGTATAAGCGACTGTCTACATACGTTACACAAAAATTATCAATGGTAATATTGTAACTTTTCTTTTATATATATGTATGTCTTGGACTAAGTACATATCCAAAGACGGAAGAACAATTTGTCTTTGACAGTCAGTGAAATAAAATATCTTTTTTCCTCGAAAAATCTACATATTACCAAACATTAGCTACAAAAAGCAATTGGAAACAATTAAGATTTCATCAAAGTTCCGACATTTTTCTTTCCTATACTGGCTCCCATTTATCCTTTCATGAAATGATTACATTGAATTTGAATAGAACGAAAATGTTAGATGCATTTGGTTCATAATATGGAATTCTATGCGACAGAGTAAGGTTATTACGATCGTCGCGTTTATTATTTCCAAAATATAAATTGCATCTAAACTAATATAGTCATTGTTGCCTTGGCAAAAATAGCATTTTCACAGATATTTAAGTCATAGTACTAGTTTTCCATGTGAAATATGTAGTTCAAACGGATCAGTAATCTTAATCATGATGATGTAAAGTACGTACTATTTATAAATATCATCCTAGCGAGAGCATTTATTCTACATAAAAATACCCGCTTAGTTTTAATTAAAATTTTCATTTTCATTCTTATTAAAAAAACACGTATCCAAAACCGGAAGTTGAGCTCTCACAAAATTAATGGATATTCCATGTTGAATATTGATGCTCTTGATAAATCATATGTGCAGATAAACGGACTAGAATTTGACGCATTAAACAAGTATTGTTGTTTCGTCACCGTAAAATTAACATCCAAGTGAAATGAACATTTACTTCAAAACTGTATGAAATCAATAGAAAAATCGACATGAATAGACACTAAACAATTGAACATTAAGCTTCCACATTCGAATCAAGCTTAATCACTATGATATTGAAATTATAACGACCCTAGTGATGAAAAGAACAAAAAAAGGAGAAAGTGTGTGTGCATGTAACATATATTCCTATATATTTTGTTTGTAACCACGTAAAAACCAATATGATAATTCCGGACATTTAACTTGAAATATGATAGTAATCGATGCATTGTCAATAACCTTTTGTTTTATAATTGGTATTGCACATCAAAGACCGTTATGCAATGAGAGAAAAACAATAGAAAATAGATTTAAAACAAATCGGTTATTTATGGACTTTCGTAGACACATTCAAAAGTAAACTTCAAAAATGAGGCTCTTGTGGCTAACGAGAATTCTGCTTTTGAAGTAGCAGGGAAAAATAGTTTACATTTTTTGTTTATATATATTGCTTCATTATTCCATGCAAAAAAATGATCCATAATGCGAAGCTTTGAGCGCATATATTTTGAAAATATATCTGTATATATAAATGTTTCTTTATACCACATACGAAAAAAGTAAGAGGAAAAGACAAACTATTTCGTATACGTATGTCAAAACAGAGTGAAATTCAACACTCTTTTCAATGATCTCAAAACAAACACTTAAAAAGGTGAATTATACCCTATACATGTCTTGTAGAGTCATTTAATGTTTACAAATAAGATTTTAATTTTCTTCAAATATTTTCTTATATATAAGTAATTCAATATTTTCTAATCTTCTTTTGACATGTTTTAATCTGTTTATAAGATTTAAATGATATGTTTGATTAGGTTAACTTGGTGCGTATTATATCACTAATAATATTTACTGACAAATGGCTATGCATAACAGCAAAATCCGAAACTCAGATTATCTTCTTTTTTCTTTAAATACCAAACATGTTTCGGTCATTCGCTTACTTATTCATTTTGTATTAGAACTATATTTGATTCACTCGACTAACTTTGCAAGAACTCGCCAATTGAATAAAAATCCGAAAAACTTTGCATCTCTGGGTTATGTGTTTTATCAGAAAACAGATTAAACACCCACAAAACAGGAGGGGTAAAGAGTTTCTTCCTAATAAGCATTTTCATATACAAATGTAATAGATGTCCAGACAACGATTCTCTTTTTCTTAAATTTCTTTCTTTTATCCATATTGCAATTTGCAAAATTAAACTATTATAAATGTTTACGAAAGAGGTTATCATAAAATCGATCAATAAATAAATTATCAATCTGTGATCACACATCCACGAAAGCCATCAGTACTTCAAAAAAATGATGATGTCTTTTTTATCTTAAAAACCTTTTTGTAGAATATGTTCGAAAGTAAGAGATCCTGAAACAGGATGAGAATTTTGTTATCGGCTACTTCCGATATTGAGCAATACCAAAAAACTTTAAAAATTGTTACCATGACAATCAATTGATTAAATCTTAAACACCGGAAGCGATCCAATATGGTAACTAATTCGAGGTAAAACCTTTGTAATCAAGTCACCATATAGATTGACAACAAAGTCAATCAGTGGCGATATTTAAAGGCCAAAACGAGCCTTTCATGACATGTTACGGCATAGTGATAATCTTAAAATGCCTCATTTGAGCAATCAATGACTGAAGCTTCCCTCGTTGTCAGAAAGGTTTTGTGTAACACGCAATTAGCATTAGATAAAGCTCTAATTAGTACTAATATTTTTCTCTTAAATTACCATCTATTATCACGCAATGGAAGGAAATTAACACAGAACGTTAATTTTTATGAAATGATTGATGTCATTATGAATATATTAAGCACGCGAAAAGAACTTATTGAAAAAAAATCAATATAAACCAAAAAACGAAGGTTTCATTGCTTACCTTCAACTTATGATTGTTTGATTTGACTAGACGTATATCTGATTTTGTAATATATTGAGAATAATTACTCTAAAATTGAAGGGAAAACTGTATTAGAAGGTAAATTATCTGATTACTTATAATTTCATAATGTAGGTCAAATTTTCTGTGAACGTACGTGTTATGTGGTTACCTGCTTACAACTGCAGATTAGCAAAAGCTCTTCAGTCTTTTGGTAAAATGACAACGATTTGCATTTTTTAATGACAGCTGACATATGTACATATATAAAAAAACGAAAATATTCAAATTCAAACATTTATTAAACAAAATAGATAGGTTAAAGTCTGCTGCACCTCAAACATTTTCCGAAAATATATGTACTAAAGGAGAGGCGAAGGAATTGGACGTACATGTATATGCATGTTTTAAAATTTTAAAATACCTTACAACTAAAAAGGCCTCCACTGACAAGAATCGCTATGCAGTTCAAAACTATGCAGAGAAAACTGATAATTTTATTTTTTTCTAAAATAAGCACGGATAATTGGTGCTAACTTGAACAGATAGAGCTAGAAAAATGTACAACAATATCAAACAAATAGAAATACCAAGAACAACCGATTTTAACAAAACAAATTAAAAATTGGCTAGGCATGCTTGTAGGTTTTTTTATATTCCTTAGTTGAAACTATATCAAATATTCAATATAATGTAATATTATGTTTCACAGATACTTTTAACTTACTTAATTTCAGTTCCAGTAGCCTTAGGCATAACATCGACAAAATATATGACACACTATTGCCATCACAATGTTATATTCGTCAACTCCAGTCTCATCCTAGAACTTACCAATAATCTCCTTGAAGTGGAACCGGAAGACCATATACACTGTGCAGCAAAGATATTGACAGACCCCGGCTCAAAATTACTGCTACATTTTATAACATTAGATATTTCATTTCACAACCTTTCACCCGACAGGTAATCATGAAAATATTGATAAATTTTTGCTCAGAACAACTAAGAACTACACAAGTCAATATTATTTTGTTATTATTTTGAATGAATAAAGAGAGGGATAATTTGATATAACTTCTGTCACGATTTAAACTTCCGAATAGTTATCCTTCACTACAAAAACTTGGAAATACAAGGGAAAGCCCAAACTCATTAATATTCCACATGATCTCACCCATGAGCAATCATGCAGCACGAGTTTGTAAAAATATAGAATTCAATATATAAAAAAAGAATATGTAGTATGGCTGCCAACGAGACAATTGTCCATAAAAGACCAATTTTAATTGAACAATACAGGTGGCCATAAGACCGTCAACAATGAGCAAATCCCATAACTTATTGTAAGGTATAAAAGGCCCCGGGATGACAAACTATGTCACAATTCAAAAGGAACAACACATCTGGTCTGTGTTTTTGTTTTATTGTTCTGCTTTGTATCGATCTGATGAGTTAAGCCTTTTTCAACTGATTTTTATAGTTTGTTCTTATGTTGTGCGTTTCACCACTGTCCAAGGTTAGGGGGGGGGGGGGGGGGGGTCAGCGCTCACATACATGTTTAACCCCGCCACATTCTTTATGTGCCTGTCCCAAGTCAGGAGTCTGTAGTTCAGTGGTTGTCGTTGGTTCATGTCGGTCATATTTGTTTTTCGTAAATTGTTTTGTTATAAAGGAGTAGGTCCGATAAGGGCCGATTTTGGCCTCAAACGTCAGGTTCATCTGATGAAAGATTTTGGACACTTTTTAAACACTTAAGTGTCTACTTCAGTCGATTCAATTAGTGTATGTGAAAGATTTGAACTGATTTAGTCATTTAAGACGATCAAATTCAAGCTTAAATATGAAAAATCCATCAAATATGCCATACTATGTCACTTTTCAGAGGGTTTTTGTTAAAAATGAAAGTGGCCGCATTCGTGTTCACTCTCAACCTTTAAATATATTATGTATTATCATCAAATACAACTTACATTCAAATATTATGAATGAACACAAATGCGGCCACTTCCATTTAAGACGGAAACCGTCTAAAATTTAACTCAAACGCTAAAATTGTGAAGATTTCAGCAATTTAGCATGACTTAATGATGCTAGTAACCGATACATGTGCATTGTATTGTCAAAAACAGCCCATATTTATGTAACAGAAGTATTCTACCTTCCAATGAATAGCTAAAAGTTTACATTTTAACAATTTTGTAAAACTGCTATATTTTGGGACCAAAAAGGGGTCTTACTGGACCTACTCCTTTGGCTGTTAGTTTTCTCAATTGAATTGTTTCATATTTTTTATGTCGGGGACTTTTATAGCCGACTATACGGTATGGGTTTTTCTCATTGTTGAAGGCCGTACGGTTGCCTATAATTGTTAACATCTACTTCATTTGAACTTTGGTGGATAGCTGTCTCATTGGCAATCATATATAATAGTCTGATTTATACTTCAACGCTAAACGAAAAACAAATAAGGCAGACAACAACCAACGACAACAACTGAAATACAGGCTGATTGCATTGGACAGGCACATAAACAATATGGCGGGGTAAACCAAGCGCTTCACCTCCCTTAACCAGGAATAGTTACCAGTGTAATAATACAACATATGAACGAACCGTAGAAATTAGTTGGAAATGGCTTTACTCATAGGATCGGTACTAAAACAAAACAAATAACCAGAAGATAAAAGACAGAAGAAACTTTATCGAAGAATAAAGATTTTTTTAAAGAATATGTATATCTAGATATAGATTGTAAAAAGGGGGAGGCGATAATAAAAAGGAGGGACAATAAAAACCATAAATCGAGGGAAAACAGACAAAACCATATTACCAAAAGAATAGAGACGATCAGACAACAGAAAACAAAACACTACAAAGAAAACTAAAGATGGGACAAAACGAACCACGCCAAAAACAAGGGGTGAATGCATGTGTTACTACAGTTAAAATATGTTGATTAGTCTTGTTACCCATCATACAATAGCAGAACTGTCACGAAATGTCTCTTGTCTAACAATGAGATATCATCAAAGTCATTCGTCATTGTTACATGTAAATTTCTTACTCTAAAACTTGACCGAATAAGAAAGTTGAAAATGAAAACACGATTTTCTGGACTAGGGATAGACACTTATTTGGTCTTCTGTAACATAGATTAGTGCTTATTTTGTACGGTATCAATTTATTTTGCAATAATGACACAAGGTAGCTGAGTATTGCCTAATTATATCATTAATCGTCACTTCTTTGAAGAAATCATAAATTGAAGAACAACAACAATTTGTGTGAAGGTATTGCAATAATTCAAATATTAAAAACGTTTCATCAAAAGATAAAAAAAAAACTACTTACAATCCACAAAAAAATTATAACCCGACTATATTTTTTTCAAACTGACTATGACTGAAATAAACTGGAACTTAGTTTGTTTTCATCAATCACTTTAATTTTTGTTTATTGAACTAATAGATTGTTATGACAATACAGACATGAAAGAAATACCCGGGGTTCGGGTTTTTTTTTTTGGTGAGAATGGGAGACTCTATTTAACAGGTTGCTTTTTCTATTGCAGACTGCATATCTTTGACTACAGTAAGAACGGTAATGCTTCGCAAGTCTCTCCAGCAGGAGGGTTGTATGGTATCTATGACCAATACTACACACATACCAGTTCCGGTGTACAGGACTATTTATCGTCTGGTAACATGTTCCGGTTAGATTACATGGGTAAACCAAGTTTACTCTACCGAGGGTTTAGAATCTTGATAACATCAGTAAAAGGTTTGTTTCCTCATATCTTATATGTCTTTAAATGATCAGACTCATATTTTTTGGTTTCAACAGACGTATTTCTGTATGATTACTAGAAAATAAAATGTAAGAAAGCGACGAGAAAGGGATATGCTATATTATAACTAAATTGACAAGGATTTGTTCTTTTTCATTAGATAATATAACTATGTTATATGGCCGGTAGAATTCTGATAATTTAGACAGCGGAAAAAAGTTGCTGTACAGTTAGATGCTTTCTGTGACTGCAAGCATTCTTAAAAAAATATCAACTGGTTATTGGTTATTCTGGAACGATTTTTATGATTCATTTTCTCTGATCCCTAGTGATAAATGGTTAATTTTTTTATAAATAAAAATATGTGGTATGAGTGCCAATGAGACAACTCTCCATCCAAGTCACAATGTGTATAAAGTAAACAGATATAGGTTAAAGTACGGCCTTCAACACGGAGCCTTGGCTCACACCGCACAGCAAGCTATAAAGGGCCCCTAAATGACTAGTGTAACACAATTCAAACAGAAAAACCAACGGTCTAATCTATATAAAAAACGAGAAACGAAAAACACTTATGAACCACACCAACAAACGACAACCACTGAACAACAGGCCCCCGACTAAGGACAGGCGCACACAAAAACATATATTACACATATTTATGGACTGAAAACGTAAAGGTTACACAATTTATAGAATAAAAATGATGGCCAACTCAGAGCTCACAGTTTGCTTTACCGATGTCATTATAGCAATGATTCAAAAGCATGGATTTTACATTTAAATAAAGTAATTCTGAAAAAAATGCATGATTAATCTGTATAAAAAATAAAATATCACAAACTTGTGTTCTGCTATGTATAAGAGATCTTTGATAACCAAATACTTTATCCAATATGTCTAATTAATTGTTCAATCAATTGGAACCACAACCATCTTTACCAACAATAAATGTTCAACTATCACAACTCTTTGTTCAGCTTCCTCTCTTATTGACATTTTTCATACCGGTTTTGTAACTGAAAGTATTAACATTTTTACTGTTTCGCCTAAGAGTCAAATCTTATAGTTCTTATTCAATCGTGATAATAGAAAAACAAATCAAAAGGGAAAAGTTAACTTATAGTAAAATATATGATTGATCCTAATTGTTATTATTAGTATTTTTTATTGTTTATTGTTTATTTATTTATATTTAATCATATCTTAGTGAAAAAATGTTTATAATTATTCAATACTTAACCATGGAGATATACGTACTGCACATTTCAATTATCTTATTTTCAGAGAGAAAAACAATTTCTACCGTTGTTTAGACAATATGCAAACCAACGGGTGCCACATGCTATATATTCGGTAGTTTAAACTTAAAACTGAAATTCTTTTATTCAACAGATCCCAATCCGGATGGAGGATGTGCTACCTTTCACTCTCGTTGTTCAAAGGGATCCATCTGTATACCTACAAGTACTTTATGCAATGGGGATCATAACTGTGGAACAAAAGACGACAGCGATGAAACCCAATGTAATTGGGTTTTGTCTACAGGTTTAGAGGAAAAATGTAAGCATTCAAGTCCAATGTAAAGTTAATTTTGTCAGACAATTAAAACACTACGATGAACTATAGTGTTTATTTTCTACATCATTTAGTTTTTAGTGGAGAGTTGTCTCATTGGCAATCATACCCCATCCTCTTATTTTTATTCTTTTTGAAAATGTAGTTATAAAAATAACCTATCAGAATAAAAAAAAAACACACTTAAATACAGAACATCTGAGTTCATATATTTGGTGAGCTGCATTGAAATTTTTTATAACAATTACGTGTTCAATCCCTCTAAATAAACTAAACTATTATAACAAAAAAGGGAAACAAAAAAAGAAACAAGTATACAGGTTGTTTGTATCTATAATAAAAGTTGGATGTACAAATCAAAGTAATTGTATACATTTTAAACACTTATTTTTAAGTTGTTTTCCATATTGCCTATATGCATGGTTTTGATTGATACTAATATCAATATACAAAAATACTGATATTAGTCGTAAAAAACATTTTTAAGTTAAGAACTCTGCTATATGCTTTTTTTCAGATGCGATTGGCAATGTTATAACAGCCGGGGCTTTAGCCAGCTTGTCGTTTGTTCTTGTTGTTGTTTTAGTATTCGGAGTAATTTACAGATACAACAAAAGAAGGTAAATTAAGTATTCCATGTCGAGTGTTATTTCATTGATATCTATTAGTATCCCTATTGGATTATCAATTCTTGGCTGCCTTTGGCACAAGCGTTCTTGATGAAGGCGGCTAGACTAGGAATGCACATTACTACTGTGCCTTTATTCATCTTTTAATGTTAAAACTTTTGGCTCATTGCATTCCTGATAAGTTAACCAATCTCGATAGTTAAATCATCACATCTTAATGTTCGAGCCTTGGCGAGGAAATTTTAAAATTCGATATTTGAATAGTCAAAATATTAGAGAAACGTTGAGTTTGACTTTGATGATTGGTTTACATAATAAAGTTTTAAAAATGCTGGCATATTCAATAAAAGAAATATACAAAACCAAATCATTTTTACAGTGGAATTTTTCGTTAACTCATGCTTCTTACAAGAATTTTATTATCATTTCGACTTATCTAATCGACCAACAACTAAAAGAAATAATTGACCTGTACAGTCAAACCTTTTTTATTCGTACTGTATATGATTTTTTTATTTGCCCCGCTGGTATCTTTTTACTTATTTGTTTCACAATTGAATTGTTTTCGACTTATTGAAAATAGTGTTCCTGAAGGTACAGTAGTAAGTATATGATATTAATAGCTTACCAATCACGCTGGCTAAAAGAAGTAAAAGCATGTGGAATAATGGGTCGCTGATAAATCATAGATGTACCGTTTTGCATGTTTGGGCATAAAGGGTTATGTATGCTTTACAAATAGCTTAATAATTTGATTTTTAAAAATGTAGTCATGCCATGAATAAAAAATATGGTTATTTGAAATATTGATAAGTATATTTGTTAAATAAATCTGCCATATTTATAACCAAGACCTTTTATGAGACTTTTAGACACGTCTAGATGCTTTGATCTACGTATATTTTGGCCGATTTCGACGCAAGTTCAGATGGAAATCGTACAAAATACTAATAGATGACCCACTCTGTGTTTGCGATCCTTTCAACTGAAAGTTAGAGACAGAGTGATAAAAATCGAAATCAGTCTAAGGGATGTTTTACTGAAATTGGATATTACTTATATCCTTTTATTGATTATGACTAATATGGAGAATTTTTAATTTCATATTCGTTATCGTTATGTTTTTACATATGCATATTAAGTTTACATGACAATATAGCAGCATAGTAGATATATAGCCACCGTTCATTTCACACAAAATTTAAGGTAGAAATTTACGTAAATTCATACTGACATGTTTATCACTTATGAGTATATGTTTTTTTCTAGTCAAAGGAATTTTATTGAAAACTTTTATGCCTCAAAAATCTTCGAACCAATCTACTGATTGTATATATTCATTACAATATCAGTTAAGATTTCATGATGGAGACTTAATTAGTGTTGGCAAACATTGAGAATAGAAGTAGTTTCTCCTAAAATTCGGTATTTTTATTGACTGCTTGCATAACGTCCAGTGGCAAATAGTTCATGCATATTCAAAAGGAGAAAAAAATACAATTAATACAACTGGTAGGTTATCCTAGGTAGATCAACCAAGAATTCTGAACTGACACTGAAAAATAAGGGTGGGTTCGATAGGAACAGAACTTTGGCATTCTAACAGGCCACCTACAGGCTTCTCATACAGCGGATTTTTAGGGTTCTTTATCGTGCAGAGAGGATGGTGTTCACCCTACACGAGGTATCGTATTTAAAGAACAAATTTCGACCGGACGTGGCTGCATATCTATACATCCCGCACAACAAAACGGACGCCCCAGTTTAGAATAGATGTCACTGTCGGGTGGAAAAATTCAGGGATTACAATATTTCCATTCCCTAGTCAACCCTTGGGGTAAAGTAGTATTTTGCAAATCAAGAGGATTTCTGAACATTTGACTGAATATGGTGTAACAAAGGGGTTTATTCCAGTATACGTTTAATGTCTTCGTTTTCGGGTTTTCGGTTTAATTTCAGAAAGCATAGTTGCACAATCTCTGCCGAGTTGTTTTAGTAGTTACAACCTATGGTCATGAGCCTTCATCATTAAGATTTCAGAAAAAAAACCTATGTTGTGCTCTCGGAAATCATATCTTTTGTTTAACAGTTGTTTGTTCCATTACAATGATGTCGTTTAGAATTTTAAATCTAAAATTTGTTAAAGTTCATCAAGATATCCTTATGTTTCTTTATTTTGCTATTTTATTATATAGCTATTTACGAAGAGAAAGCATTCAAGTTCATGCTAGGAGAAATGCAGATGGAAAGTGGAAAATTACAAATGACATGGGTTTGACTGCTCAGATATATGCGCCACCTACATATGATGACGTTGTAGCAGATGAAGAGAACGAAGGACCACCACCAGCATATGAATCGTTGCCATGTTCAGTTCGAAATTCTTGTGAGTTACGACATAGCCGAAGTGGTTCACTTACAATTGTGTGCGTCCCAAATAGAGATATTCATCTGCATAATGAAGCATTAGACATTTCAGAAATGCAATGTTTTATCGTTAGTTCCGAAGAAGAGTTACACACACACAGTAATGAAACTAGCACAACAGAACCTTCGTATGCACAAGGTACATGTAGTTGTACAGATTCTGACATTTCAAATCAATTTCAAAATGTATCCATCGGTGAGAAAGATCAGGAATCCTCTAGCTCACAATCAGTGAATTCCTCATCAGACAATAAAAAGACTGATTCTAATGAAAATTTGATTCGTCCAAAAATAATAGGAATTGTCGATGATGAAATAGAATACATGGACGACAATATGTGATTTCCGATGCAATCTTTATTTTATGCATTTATTTATTTATTTATATTATTTATTTTCAGCTATTTGTATATGCCTTTATATGCCAAATTGATATATGGTGCTTAATTTATATGACAAAGATACTTATCAGTTATATGATAGATTGACGGTAATGAACTTTTATTAAACAAGATATTTTTTACTTGTTGCAGAATGAAATTGTTAAGGCTTTGAAAATAAAAACTTAGCAGGTCTTTTTCATTAGCATTTCTGATTTATCTTGTGCAAACTTACGGTATATGTATCAAAGGGTCTCAATTGAACCTAAAACAAAAACTTTTCAAATTATTTTTTAAAAAGCTGTTGATATTGAAACCGCAAACAAAATAAACTGATGTCGGCATTACCATTGTACAATTGACGTTTTTTTTTAAAGACAAATGACTTTGAATAAGTTACAGACGTCACCTGTTAGGAAAGGGATACAAACACTGTTTTTGGATTTAACTATGGACTTTTTCAAAATTGAAATGCGTTGAAGAGTATTCAGGTGTAGACATTGTTTGCGAACGAGTAATTATTATCATGAAATTGCGTTGTTTTATTGCAATGATCGATCCAGATCGAGATTCCCCTTTTTCTCATTTTTTTTTAAATACAAAACACTTCGTAAGATTGATCTCAACATGTAATTTTTACAAATATTCATTAGAATCCTTACCAACAGGACTGGATCCTAGACTTTGTATTGTGTAATATACTGTTTAAGTACACATATGCAGTATCAAACACAACCAAGCAGACAATGAATGACTAACTCTACAAATTAAGATGGTCCGTATTATAGCCTGTAGTTGTATTCGAATTCGTATTCAGGGACGAAAGACGTATTGAACTTCCTAACACATCTAAAAGTGTGTTTACATGTGTTCTAATACTAGTAAGTGAATTGGATTTCCTTTAAATACTCTTGTTGAAATCGAGTTGGCCAAATCAATTTCTTTGACATTGAGGATTTTTCAAATTTAGTTGTCTATAGACCCTTTTCTGTAGATTTTCAATTAATATAGAAATAATGAGATGTGGTGTGATTGCCAATGAGACGACTATCCACCAATTACCAAAGGACGAGGATGCAAAAAAACAACTATTGAGTAGGTACGGCCTTCAACAATGAGCATAAACCATACCGTATTGTAAGATATAAAAGGCCTCGGAATGTCTTAATGTGAAACAATTCAAAACAGACAACAAACGACCTGAATTATGCAATAAACAACACACGAAACAAATAAGTCAGAAAGCACCCAACGACAACAACTAACAGGCTTCTGACTTGGAACAGGCACATAATGCGTTGGGTTGAAGCATGTTTGTGTGCACTCAACCCTTCCCTAACCCGAGAAAGTGGTGTAACAGTACAACATAAGAACAAACTATGCAAATCAGTTGGAAAGGGCTTAAATCATCAGACAAGCACCAAGCATGCAAAACATTCTAAACTTTTGTTTGAAAAATAGGTACCGATATGAGAGTACTCACAATAAGTATATTAACATATATGTATAGAGTCAAAGAATAAGTTGTAAAGTTGTAATTTTTTACAGGTTCTTTTTAAACACTGCGTTTGTAACATTATTCAAATCAGTTAGTGATCACAGAAAACTGCATTGAACATGAATATCTGGTCCACACATTCAGCACATTTTTAATAAACCTAAAATGGTTTTAAAAATCTAGATCATAGGTGTTATACCTAAAGTGAAAATGATAATCCGCTACGTGGTTTCATCGCAAACTTTCTCATTTAGTATATGAGAACAGATTAGCCAATAAGAATTTAACATACGCATGTTTTTTACTGCAAAACAATGATTTACGTTGGGATTGGTTACAACAATTAGAACACATACGAGGTCATCTGTTACACAGATATTTCGTTATGGTGATGGTTTTTCGTAGACGCCCTTTTTTCGACTATGACTATCAACAACTTTTTATCAAAATGTACTCATATACAACATCATGGACGTCATTGGTGGAGAGGATAATGAACTGCTTACCCTTTCGGAACACTTCCTGTTGCTCATTCTTTGGTTTACTATGTAGTGTTTTGTGGCCTTTTCGTCTTTTAATGATTTTATCCTCGACGCAAACATCTGAGTGCTGTACTTGCCACTTTTTACATCAAATTAACCATGCGCTAAAATAAATGAAGATAATGTTGCTGATCTTATGGATTAAATTGTTGCTTGCCAATTAATAATTTTGTGATAATAATGTGACAATAAGTCAACCTGATCAGAATCACCCATTATAGGTGACCGCAGAAGCGGTATAAGATATATTCAATATCCGACTTATCAGACATACTTATGATAAATTAAACTAATCAAAGATAGCAGGCTTTTGGTTTTCGTCTACGTAAGACTTATCAGTGGCGCTCGAATCAAATCAGTTGGAAGCCAAATCAAATACGAAGTTGAAGAACATTGAAACCAAAAATACTGAAAATTGTGCCAAAAACGACTAAGGCATCTGTGACTGGGATAGAAAACCCTTAATTTTTCGAATAATACAAAAAAAATTGAAACGGAAAATTTAAAGAAATTGACCGTAGCATTGATATTTCATGTCAACATAATTTTATAAGTGCTGACTACTAGTGATACCATAGGAGACGAAACGCCAATCAGCAGTGACATCGACCCAGTGGTTGTAAAAACTAATGACAGATACAAGGATTACAATTTGTTTCGCCAGACGTGTGGCGCCCGAATCAAATCAGTTGTACAGTCAAATCAAACATGAAGATGACGAACATTGAAAACCAAAAATACCAAAATATTGTGCCAAATACGACTTGCATAAAAAAAAATCAAGAGATGTGGTATTATTGCTGATGAGAAAATTGTGCCTAATTCAACTAAGGCTAATTATGCCTGGAGGTAAAAAAAAACCCATAGCGTTTCGAATAATTAAAGACTATTTACAGAAATTGACCATAGCACTGATATTTCATGTCAACACAGAGTAGCTGACTATTTGGCTGGTGATACCCTCGGAAACAAAACGTCCACTAGCAGTTGCGTCGACCCAGTGGTTTAAAAAAACTTATCAAAGATACCAGGCTTACATTTTGTAACGCCAAGAGCGCGTTTTGTCTACATAAGACTTATTGGTGGGGCTCAAAACAAATCAGGTGGAAGGCTAAATCAAATGCGATGTTAAAGAGCATTAAAAACAAAAATACCGACAGAGGCCATCTTTCTCCTGGATGTAGAAAAATATTTGTGTTTCGAATAATTCAAAATTTTGTACACAGAAAATTCACAGAAAATGACCGTAGCGTTGATATTTTATGTTTATTTACTACAGTAGTGCTGACTACTGGACTTGTGATGCCATCGGGAACGAAACGTCGACCAGCAGTGGTAGTTATCCAGTGGTTGTAAATCTAATTAAAGATACCAGGCTTATAATTTGTTACGCCAAAAGCGCGTTTTGTCTCCAAAAAAAAATCACCTGTGTCGCTCGAATCAAATCCTTTGGAAGCAAAATCAACAAGAAAGTATGCGTTGATGTGCTAGGCATATCCCCACTTGTAATTCAAAGTATCGGAAATTTGAAGTAGCGTCTTACAGATCAGAAACATTATCACATGTTACAGCTCATCACTGTTGAGCTGTTGACCAAGTATGAAGTCATTCTGCAAAGTAGTTTCTCAGACAAATGTGAAGAAAAAATTTGTTTGTTAACGGACAGGTGATTGTAATGTAGCCCCTGTTCTGGAGTTGGGGTAAAATATAATGCATTTGTAAAGGACGATGAGTTATGTTTCAAATTTAGGTAACAAGAAAAAAAAACTCAAATGTCAAGCATGTCCAATCGTCTATTACAAATATACGTGTGTCTGATAAGGTTTTTTTCCTCAGAATATTCCTTTATAGCATACAGCTTGCTTGTTCTAGCCAAATAAGGGACCCCTCTAACAATAATCTTAGAAGAGTTGAGGGTATAAAGCACTAAATTTTACAAGCCTAAGTGAATTGAATGTCGACAAAAAAGTCAAAGCATCTTACCCGAACAATTATTAACGGATGACATCTACCGTCCTACCACAAGTTAGATAAAAATGAAATTAAAATTATTTTTATCTCTTGAATTTTTATTAAATAATCAGTTTCGCCCTTTTCTACAAGAATATTGCCCATATTGCATACAACCAGTATATTGGTTATGTTGGTTGTTAGTGCTTTGGTACTGGCATGATTTAAATGAAACAATTTAGTCTATAAATTCATAATATAAACTTTTAACTGACTAAAACTAACATTTAACACTCCCTGAGTCAAAGTTGACCTTATATGGATTTGACTGTCCTGGGTTTTTTACCATTTAGATTTTGTAAGAACTTTTTGTTTAAAATATTTGACTTTTCAAACTTCCAGTTGTGTGCGTTTCTTTTGAGTTTTCAAGAAATACGTGTCGTTCGCACGGAAATCGGAATTAAATGTTAATGTGGTCATAATTATAAATTAATTGTTTACGAAACTTTGAATTTTTCGAAATACTAAGGTTTTTCTACCCTAGGAATAGATAGCCGTAGCTGTATTTGGCAAAACTTTTATGAATTTTGGGTCATCAATGCTCTTCAACTTTGTATTTTTTTGGCCTTTTTTACTTTTTTGATTCGAGCATCACTGATGAGTCTTTTGTAGACGAAACGCGCGTCTGGCGTACAAAATTTCAATCCTGGTATCTGTGATGAGTTTATTTACAACCACTGGGTCAATGCCACTGCTTGTGGAGATTTTCTCCCCGAGGGTATCACCAACTCAGTAGTTAGCTTTTCTGTGTTGACATTGAATTATCATTGATGTGATCATAATTATAAATTAACTGTTTACTAAACATTGAATTTTTCGAAATACTAAGGCTTTTCTACCTCCAGGAATAGATTACCTTCGCTGTATTTTGCAAAACTTTTAGGAATCTTAGGTCATCAATGCTCTTCAACTTCGTGCTTTGTTTGGCCTTTTCAACTTTTTTGATTCGAGCGTCACTGATTAGTCTTTCGTAGACGAAACGCGCGTCTGGTGTCCTTTTAATCCTGGTATCTATGAGGAGTTTTTAACAAGCAAACAGTTCATGTTATGGAACCAATTCGTTAATATATTAAGGCGAAAGTAGTTTACAGATCGTTAATCGATTAGGAAGAGACAAATCAAGGTAACAATATATCTAAGAAAATAATATGC